CCCCTCCAACCCCTCCAACCCCTCCAGCCCCTCAAGCCCCTCCAACCCCTCCAGCCCCTCCAGCCCCTCCACCTTCTCTAGCCCGTGACGGTCCCACAGAGACTCAGTCAGACTCACCAAAACAGGAACCGTTGGAGCCGCCTGCTGCAGCTCAGGAGACCCGCAGCGGGGGGGCAGTAACAGGAGACCCTGTGAAAGTGGAGCCAAGCCCACAGGATCAAAGTGGAGGTTCGAGTGAACAGATTAGAGCCGGCAAGAGAAAACTCAACATGGGAACTGTAAGTTGGATTCTCTAGTGTGGCGCATAGCTGCGGCGTCAGATAGCTGCTGCATTTCAATCACTTGGTATTCTTGCAGGATAATGTTCTGTCGAGCACATCCGGTGGTAAAAAGAAGAAAAGAGAGTCAAGCAAAGGTAATGCCGATATTATATTAAAAAAAATCTTCATACTCATGGTTAAATATCTTATTTACAAGACATCCCTGTTTTAAATTAACCACCATGTTGCATGGGGGGTAATGAAAGATGAAAGATGCCCCCCCCGGATCTGCTTTGTCAGAATGTTTGACAGATGTTTTTCAGACACCACTTCTGCTAAAGTCTCTGTGGCACCATTTTTTTTTTCATTTTTATTTCCAAATGTATTTCCATCCAATGCAGGCCAGGCCCAGATGGACCAGCTGCTTGCGGTGTCTTTACGGGAAGAGGAGTTGAGCCGCTCGTTGCAGGATTTGGACAAATCTATGGTTCTAGCCCGTAACGCCCTGCAGGCTGCATGCGCAGAGGCCCAAAGGATGTTTCTCATGAAACAGCAGGTACCGTCATTCAAGGCAAAAAAATAAATACTTGTCTTTTCCTCAAACATGCTGTGTACAGCAGCCCTCATATGACACGTTTCTACTCTTTTAGTTCACTGCTGAGGTCAACAGTCTGAGAGCAAAGCGCATTGAGATCCTGCAGGGAATGCAAGGTATCCTGTGCATTCCCGGGCACTCAGATGATTAAAAGTTTAGGGGGGTTACCGATAGCATTAAAGTTGATCGACCCTTTGTAAAAATCAGGGTCACTGCAAGTGACACGACACATTACACCAAATAATCATTCAGAGGAGAAGCTGAAAAAGAAAACAAAAGTAAAATGATTTTAATGACTTAAATAGATATTTGAGTTTGTGGGATTTGAAGTTCTCCTCTTTTGATTCTTTTCCAGAAAGATATTCTGGAGCATTTAATGGAGTGACCTCATCATCAAGTCCTCCTCCTTCTGTGTCCTCCCTTCCTTCTTCAAGTGCCCTCCCCAGCTCTCTGCGCCAGCCGCCAGGCATAAAAGCTTCAGCCTCCTTGGCCACTCCTCAGCCGACGCCCTTCCCTGTAAAGCAAGAAATCTTCCAGCAGGCCTTAACCGGACAAGCCAGTCCGTTTATCAAAAACTGTACCCCAAATGCGCTCCAGGTCCCTGTGAACCAATCGGTGCAACTGGGGCCGTCCCACTTTGCTGCTCCAGCCCAGAGCTCTGCACCAGCGGCCCCCGCTGACTCATCTGCCAAGCACCAGGGGCAGGAGGCCGGCCAAGTGCCGGGCGGCAGGGGGGGGGCGGCAGGGGCGTCTGTGAAAGAAGCTCAGCCGGTCGTTGTTATTGATTTGTCTGGAGAGGAAGCGGAAGGGAAGCAGAGCGAAGGCCCCGTCAAAGAAAAGGACAGGCGGGCCCCCAAGAGTGAGGAGAAGCCACCTGATGTGGCAGACGGAGGGAACGAGAGCGACGACTGCGTGGAAATGGTCAGTGCCCCCGGCCCGGAAGTAATAGACATTGACGGTTCGGAGTGCGAGGACTCGGCGAAGGAAAATCCTCCGGCTCCTCGGAAATGCGAGAGCTCTGAGCTCAGTGCTGCCAGCACACAGACGAGTCGGCAGAGTGAGGCCGAGAGGTGAGATCACAACAAGCTTTCAGAACTGTCGGGTAACGAGAAATTCTACAAACTTCACTGTCTTAAACCTTCAGGAAAGTTCCTCCACCAGCCATGTTGGCACAAGATGCCAGTTCTCCTGCAGGTGAATCCCCCCCCCCGTTATTTAGTGCATTTGAAAAAATGCTGTGCATTAAAAAGAAAAAGTTATTTCAGGATCTGGTGAGGATGAGGAGCCGTCTTTGGGCGCCTTTTCCAGTCACGCCGGGCCTGTCCACAGCCTCCAGGTTCACAACGGTGTCTTATACACATGTTCAGGGGACCAAACGGCCCGGGCCTACAGTCTGGTGGTGTGTTGCGGCTTCTTTCTCACACACACACACACACACACACACACACAAGCTCTCTGCCCATCAGGACACAGCCCAGAGGATCGTCCCGGTGTCTTCAGTGAAACACAGTTTTGTCTATGCAGAGCAGAGAATGCCAAGCGGTGTTTGAGGGTCACACCAACAAAGTGAACTGCCTCCTGGTGTCGTCCCCCCCCGACATGCCGGCACGCCTCTACACCGGCTCCAGTGACCAGACCATCCGCTGCTACAGCATGAAGGTGAAATGCAGAAAAAGATTCCCACATGAACACATGCACCATTAAAGAATAAGGACGCGTAGTGTGCTGTGCTAGCTGGATGTGTTTATTTATTAGAATTTTATTGTGCCGTTATATTTAAAGAGAAATTAATATTGTTTTAACTCAGCCCCAGTTTTGTTTTAAAATGTCCTGAATTGATCCTCTGTTAAGTGCAAGCAACTGCAGAACAGTGTCATCGGAGGGATAACTGGACTTCATAAGTGTTTTATGGTGCTTTATACTTTTAGACCTCTTCCTTTACCATATATTCTCTTCACATTCAGTCCAAGAAATGTCTGGAACAGATCTCTCTACCAGACCTAGTGTTGTGTCTGCACATCGCCTGGAATATACTGTACGCTGGGCTGGCCAGTGGTTCTGTGGTCAGCCACGATCTAAAGGTGTGTGAGCTTATTAAGACATGATAGGGCAGAGCATGTCAGAACTGAGTTTGCTTTCTCTTTTAATTCAATTCCAATTGCTTGAAAGCTTTATCTTTAGTCTTTATTCTGTTGGTTTTTTTTTATTTTTAAATGCGCCCTCACTCATATATCTAAGACAAATGTGTTTTGTCAGACGGTGAAGCAGCTGGATGTGTTTGAGTGCCACGGCCCACGGGGGGTGAGCTGTCTGGGCACCACTCAGGAGGGCGCCCGCCGCGTGCTGGTGGTGGGATCGTACGACAGCACCATCAGCGTGCGCGATGCCAAGAGCGGCCTGCTGCTGCGCTCGCTGCAGGGCCACAGCAAGACTGTGCTCTGCATGAAGGCGAGCCGAGCCCTCATCCCTTTGTCTTTTTTGTCTTTTTTTTAGCCTCTTCCTCTGAAACGGATTAAAAATGAACAGTGTTGGTTAAAATGTTCTGCTTCTTTATCTCTCTTTTGATTTTCTTCTTAAATCTGTAACTTAGCTTTTTCCAATGATGGAAAGAATTAGATACGTTTTTTTTTACTGATGCCCTCAGAGTACACATTGTAATGATGTAGTCCTTTCTCCAGAAGACGCACAACATCAGCGGTTGTGTCGACTTGATTTAATTTTTTTTATAATGAAAATGTATTTTTTTCCCTTGTAGGTTAGGTCCACCTAACTTTTATCCTTTATCTTTTTTCCCAGGTGGTGAATGACCTGGTCTTCAGCGGTTCTAGTGACACATCTGTGCATGCCCACAACATCCATGTAAGTCCTCCGAATGACCAGTGAATTATGGGCAGGTGGAAAACACGACTTCCCGCTCATGCACTCACAGTTGTGGTGTTTTGTCACTTGCAGACCGGCGAGTTGCTGCGCATCTACAAAGGGCACGGCAACGCCGTCACATCCATCGTCATCCTGGGGCAGGTGATGGTCACCGCCTGTCTGGACAACCTGGTTCGAGTTTATGAGCTCCAGGTACTTTTAGCTTAATTTTCCAGTGGAATTTCCTCTTTTTTCCTGAATGGAGTAATTAATGATGGCTATCATTTATTTGGCTTCTTTTGGAAAATAATCTATTTTTCATGTGCTTGAGAACATACATAAGATATTATAAAATCAGTAACAACTTAAAAAGGCTGAACAAAAGAAAAACAAACCTTTGTTTTTTTGTTAAATTTTTTTAGATATTTATCAACAAAAAAGACAGCAAATTATGAATAGTTTAATGAGAAAACGTATTTATTTTTGCAGTCCCACGACTGTCTTCAGGTGTATGGAGGTTACAGCGACATGGTGATTTGCATGGCTGTACACAAGAGTGTGGTAAGCAGACTAAAACTGGGCCAGCCTCAGTTGTTTGGTTTGTTTGTCTCAAACGGCATAAACACACGGATTCAATAAAATGCTACCTGCTGTTGCTCCGTGCAGATTTACACCGGCTGTTACAACGGCAGCGTTCAAGCTGTGAAGCTCGACCTGACGAGAAACCACCGCTGCTGGGTAAGAACTGGAGACACTTCGGACCGATGAAAAGTATATTTCTCCCGCATTGTCTGACCCGATCGGCGGCCCGTCCAGTGGCACAGCTGCTCTCTGATTTTCGGCATACCGGAGCATCTCGTTCAGCACCTCGTCGGAGATCACACCAACCCCAATCTGCAGGCGGTCAAATGTCGCTGGAGAGGCTGCAGTGCGTTTTTCCTCACGCAGCAATCAGTCAGACAGGTGGGTCTTCCCCAGGATACAGAGCTGCTTCCCGGGTCTGTGTCCTTTCTTAATAGAAAGCCGTTAATTGGGTCCCATTTCAGCCTTTTCCTCCCCCCCCCCGCCCGTTTGGCTTTCCTCCTGCAGGAGCTGCCCGCACACATGCAGAGCCACGTGGAGGACGACAGCAGGCTGCAGCCATGACGGGAGTAAAGGCGAAGCAGAGACACTAACATATTCACTGTTTCTTCCACATACTCCTGCGTAAGCTGTTAGTATGAAATAAGACAGGATGTCTCTAATCGACCAGCTGAAACTGTACATTGATAGTGTTCATGCTTTCAGCTGGTTTATTTATCAGCAGTCTGCAACCATCTGATGGCTGTGTGACTTTATGACTATAATTAGTCATTATTGTACATTTGGAGATGTCGATAAACACTTGGGGCACCATGCAGCTGTTGAAAGGTGTAGAAACACAAGGGAAGCTCGTCACTCGGAACATTTTTGCAAAATTGAGTACTAGTTTTCAGACATCGGAGCTTTTGTGAAGCAAAGGTTGCTACACTGTGAATTCAAAGCAGTTGGGGACAAATGCATGTTTTCTATATGCATACATCAAATGTAACCAGCCGGTGATATCTGACAGAACTGCACTGTTTTCTAAACATCTCAGTGGTAGAACAGAGGAGGAATCCACAATTAAAAGAAATTCTACATTCCTTAAAGGATTTTTTGCCCAAATAGGGGCCTATATTACCCACAATGCAATACCAGCAAAGGTGTTTTGTCACTTAATTTGAAACTTGCTGTGTGTGTAAGTGTACAGCAATTAAAAATGACACCCACAATTTACAGTGTCAACGTCTCCTTTATTTAAAAAAACAACTGACAGGAGAGGTTTCCTTCAAGATTTATTTATGTTTACAACACAGAAACTTTTTGAGGAGCATAAACTCTGAAGTCTGAATCCACTCTGAATTTGGTGTTGCACAAGATCTTAGAAAATAGCGTCTACCTCAAACTCAGATCATTGAAAACTTGAGAGTTTGGAAAACTTTAGATGTTGAATCAAAGATACAACTGAAGAAACAAGAAGTTTCTCTCACTGTAATGTCAGTGCAACACTGTTTTTTTTTTGGGACATCAAAGTGGTGTATAACAAGACTTTGAATGCCTCATGGAGCAGAGGTTGACCTAAGAGTACATGGTCAGCTGAAGCCACTGAAAAGGACAAAAGGAGAATACATTAAATCAGATTTTTAAATTTTATCTACAAAAAAAAGTACCAAAAGAGTGACAATTCTGTAAGTTAGTTGTTGATTCAACTCTGTGTAAGCGTTTGAGGCTGATGGTGTTATTTTCCTGGTTTACTGTGGCCTCAACTCCCAGCACTCAACTTAATATACGAGGAAATATCTTATTAATCAGTCACATGACAAACCTAATAAGATTTTTCAGCTTCTTTGTAAGGCGTGGTCAATAAACTTTCCTCAAGTTCAAACCAAGACTGAAACCAAGGGAGTATCGTGTGGCCGTGGTCACTCCTGCATTCTGACAACTACAATCTTCAGAACAATCAGATCTCAACTACAATCTTCAGAACAATCAGATCTCAGTTCAGCTGAGCAAAGAATGGATGAGCTGTTTTACAAAGGTCTCGCCCTCAAATCTGCATCTACTGTGTGATGAATTATACCTGTGCTTTAATAATGGATTGTTACAAAAAAAGCAACTTACCTCTAGGACATTGAGTTTGATTACTCCATCTCCATCTTTATCGAAGGCATTGAAAGCCCCTACAAGACAAACACACTTGTCTGTTTGTATGCAGATTCTGTTCACACCTCTGGGTTTAGTTGCTGTGGCTTCTTTAATAGATTTTGAGACCTAAGATGATTTAAACTTTTTTTCCCATACAAAAATATGAAAATTAGCTGTGAGAAACATTCACATAGTCGACATCTTCAGCCCTGTGAAACTGGTGTTAGTACCACTTTCTTTTGGTCCATACAACATACAACAACAGTTAGTTTGGACTTACTGAACATCCCCTCCAGCCTCACAAAACAGCAGATGTAACTGTCAAAATCTATGTTGAGGTGTTCATCTGCATAGCGCATGGCTAAGATGTTGTATAGCTGGTTGTTGAGGTGAAACCCTGAGAAAGAATCCAGAGAAAAAATAAGAAAGAATTCCTCACAGTTTCACAGAGCGGATCCAACAGTGGAGGCAAAGAGCCGCAGGGAGAAAACTGGCCAGTGTCTCTTATGCTGCCCACCTGCATCATTAACAGCATTCCTCATCTCAAAACTGCTGATGGAGCAGGATTTGTCTTTATCGTAACGTTGGAAGATGACCTGAAGACGCGAGGAGACAGTCAGATTAAACCCGGCAGCGTGGGCAGAAGCTGAAGCTGAAGCTGTCTCACAGTACCTGCCACTGCTTGATCTTATTCCACAAGTGTTTGAACTCCTGCAGATTTAATTTCCCGGTGCCGTCAGTCTGGGAAAGGATGAGTCACAGAAGAAATAACTGCCTGATGCATGCATTTCAAAGGGGATTTGGCACATTTTTGTGCAAAAAATAAATCAGTTTGATAAGATGTTTCTCCTATCAACAATGCTGTTGTTTTCCTTTGTCACCATAATGTAAAAACCTGCATTTAAGTTAATTGGCTCAGTTTCTAAAAAACAAACAAAGGTAAGGTTCTATTCTTTTGTTTTTACATTTTAGAGTTGAATGTAACACTGTAATTGTAATGTAATAAACATTTAACTTTGGTTTGCCAGGGAAGAGTACCCTTCCAGTTTGAATTGCTTCAAAGGATACATCCATTAAGGCGATCATACTCCGGCACGTCTCCAGGCTGAAGCCGTCTGACTTAATTTCATTATCTATAAGTAAGAAAAGTTTTATGAGAGGAGAGAACACACAAGCTGTAGCCATTATTCTGATCTGTGTCGTTCTCACGTTTGGAAAGTACGTTCTTCATGACCATCTTCAGCTCATTGGCGCAGATCTGCATGTCCTGAGGGAGCGAGGAGGGATTTACATCTCAACAATCAAAACTGGCGGTTGACTTGCACCTGAGCACACGCACCTCTCCTGAAATCTGTTGGTAAATGGCTCTGAACCGTTTTTCTTCCTCAGTCTCTTCTTCAGGTTGAAGCAGTTTTCGCTATGGGATTAATGAAAGACAAATTATTTTCAAACTACTTATTTGGAAACAGTCACAGCTAATGTGTTTTTTCCCTAGAAGTTAGAGGAACACCTTTGAATTCGGAGGGGAAAATGTGTAACTGCCATTAAAATATCATAAAATATTTATTTTGATAACCAGCCTCATGTGAGAATGTAAAGTAATTTACATTTATGTTATGCAAATTTACTTTTTTATCAGTATTGTTTTGTATTTTTGCTCCTTGGTGCAGACAAGTGAACATGTTGGTCTATCAGTTCTCATAAAGATTTTAGAAGTTCCATTTTATAGCCTGATTCAGTGTGATCTCCACATGTTTTGATCATCACTGTGTGTGTGTTTTCTCATTGTGCTAGAGGGGAGCAGTAAATGAAAAAACACAGCATGGACAATGTGTTCTGTACACACTGAGGCCTTTTTGGAAAACAGGTGGAGCATGCAACTTGAGATCATTTCAGACTCAATTACATTATTCCCACTGATGTTATCTGACCTGCCCTGAAAGGTGTCAACAGAAGTGATGACAGCGGGATTTCTCCACATGATTTTAATAGCAGTGTTGTAGTTAAACACTCATCCATGTCATCCATAAAATTACCTTAGGTTTCTTCCTCTTTTCCCCCCGAATGCCATCATGCTCGATTTCTTTGTTGGCACGTGCTCTGTCTGACACAAACACAATAGGCTGGGAATATGGGTGACGGAACGGTGGGCGAAGGGATGTACGGGTCATAAAACACAAAAAGGAAAAGTTTGAGTCATTGAACTGTTTGAAAATCTGTGAATTTCAATGACGGCACAAACTAAACACACAGCCAGCTGAGACATGAGAGAGGAGAAGGGGGCTAGAAGGGAGACAGAAATGTGACAGCCACATGCCTTCATTACCTTTTCTTTCTTTTTCTTGTCTTGCTGTTGGCCAATAAGACAGGAAAAGACAGAAGGATGGAATGAGATAAAATGAGGAAAAACTGAATATTCAAGTCTGTTAGTAAGCAAAAAAGACAGTTCCAGAAGAGAATGAATTCACTCTGTTGGATGCAAAGTTCAGATATGATACTACAATGTGAGGGTCATTTGAAGGGATTAGGAATAGATTGAAACAGGGGTGGTTAATGCCACAGACACTATTATCTCTGCTTTACCGTAATGGCTGCCTACATCTTTTTTTACCGATTAGTTTTTTAGTATTCAGCAACTCCTAAATCTCTGTCTAATCATCTGTGACTTCACAGATACATTACAAAGACTTTCAAGGGATAAAGCATCCAACGTTTTCTTTCATATTCTGCAGATATGACACTTCCCAACTACAGAATAAGCCAAATGTAGTCAAACACTACTTTTGCCGTAAGATGACTAACCTGTGTCTGGTCAGATTCTATGACGTTTTCTGCCTCCCTGTGCAGAAAAAAACAGACAATGTTGGCCTTTCTTTGTTTCTCAGCTTTAACACTGACATTGCTATAGACAAACCCCAGTTTGAGTTGCACCACGCAAAGAGATTACAGATCCTTACTCTGAAGTGTTCTTCTTCTCTGAGAAGACTCTGAGGAGGAACTCTCCCTCTTGATGTTGCTGAAAGGTGGTGGGGATGATGACATACTCTCCGGGAGGCAGACAGAAACGCTCCGTCACCTCACGCAGGTTAATGTAGGTCTTACATTTTGCCTTGGAGGCCGTGTAGAGGAAGAAGTCCTTTTGCAGATGTTGTGTCTGCCCTTTCATCTGGGAAGAGAAGAGAGAAAACAATAACCATACGGGAACCGTAATATTTAATGTGTGGTGCAGTTTACTTTTCTTCTTCCAGGATAATTGTTCTGGGAAACGTTAGAGGCTTAAAAAAAGTCACAGTATGTTGACTGGAGATGGATAGAAGTTCCTGCTACAATGCTTTACATATACTGCTGAAGTCAACACACAAAGTTACCAACACGTTGACTTCATCTAAATAAGGTCCTTCTTCAAGACAGGCATACCTCATTTGGCACCTGTAGAGACACAGATAGGGTAACAAGTCAAATAGAGTCTTAAGTGCACTTAGGTATCTTCTGCGGTGGAATCTTAAATGTTTAGTGCAATCGCAACCTCGTAGATGGAAAATCCGATGGTCAAAAATTTGGCCCCTGCATGGCGCTGCATCCGCCGGCCTTTTTGCATCAGAGCCACGACGACAGTGCAGGCCCCCTGTCCACCCTCTGGATCGTCATCCTCCTCATACAGCTGCAGACGATACTGCGGGTTTGTCCAAAACGTGCCTGGAAGGGAAATGCTCCTGTCAGACCATAGTTGACTAACTTTCACTGAAATCTGAGTTTTTTAGTGAAATGGAAACGGAAGCACGGCCTACCCGGGAAGTTCCTGCAGCCACCCGCAGAGCTGCCCCTCACCCAGCGCCCCTCGTTGACCGACACTGACCAGCTTTTCCTTTCATCCCCCTGCAGCGTGTCGGGCGTCAGGTTGCACATCTCCAGCTTGGTGAAATTTCTCTTGAAATCCTCAAAAGACATCCTGGACAAAAATGTGTAGAAATGAAAACTGAAGCTCCTCACAAATGGAAAATAAATCACCATAAACTGATTCAGTTTGACATTCAAACGTGTTTGACAACATTTTTTTGTTGAAAATTATTATGATTTTCTTTTAGGATCCAGTCCCCCCTCGACCCCATTAGGGAATAAGCGGCCATGAAAATGGATGTAAGGATGTTATTAGATTTGTTCCCTTATTGTATAGTAATAAGGCAATACTAGATAATACTACATATCTGGTCAAACAAGTGGAAGCTGAAGTACTGATAAATGTCGTCACAAGACCTCCGCTCAAACAAAGCTTTGGAATAAATAGCAGTATGTTAAATTTCTAATTTCTATTGTCAAATGAAGTGAAACTGCTACTTTGTGGTGATACATGAAGGAAACAAATGTCAGTGGCATACATGGCAAATAAGAATCAAGTTTTTGGAAATCTATGCAGATCAAGGGGTGGAGGAGGGGGTGGTTCTTTATGGCTGATGTGTGACTCTTATCTAAGCATGTGTTTCACAAAAGGCAGCGAGCACATCGGGATAGTGTCATGGCCCCATGAGTGCACAGAGCTCTTTACGAATATGGCAAAGCTATCTCATGGATGAAAATAGAATTACTGGCTATTTTTAGATCTTTATCAGTTTACAGTAGATGAACATGGATTCAGATTAAAAGCATCTCAAAGAAAGACTGAAAGGTCCTAATTACTCTGTGTGGCGCGCATTTTATACGGACACGCGGTGAACACAGCAGCGGTTCCTCTAAAAGTCTTGATGTAGGGCAAGGGTTCATGAGATCAGCATCCAGAGAAAGTCTTTACAGCACTCACAACTGTTGACAACATACCACATTGACCCAACTCAAGTTTGTGGACTGGTGTAGGCGCAACTTCCTGTACAACAGCCAAAAAAAGACGCTGTGTTGTGGGTATAAAAGGTTTGGAGTAGACCACACAGAGTCACACAGTTTTAAAGTTTATATCCAAGGGAGTTACTGTATTCTGCCCTTGTTTCTGTTTATGTTAATTACTGGTAATTCCTGTAAACGTGAACTCTGATACTTATTCCCCCACTGCTTGTGGAGTCATTTTACTTGCAACCAACAAGACTAATTAATGTTTTTTTCTTTACAGTCAGTAGTTGTAACAGTTGCACTCACCAGAACTCGCTCGTCTCCACAGTCTGTTTGCTGAGATTCTCCTTGTCTGCAGTGGAGATGGTCGACCACTCCTTTGAACTACAGAAGAAAATGTGTAAAAGGAAAAAGACAGTAGACAACAGAATTAGACGGTATCAGTGACTCATATTATGGACTACAAGTGAGCTGCGATAGCCAGGAATTCCCCAGCATAATCATAATGTACATAAATAAATCATGAATTTCAAATACTCCACAACTGTCACACGTTGTGGGACAGCATATCTCACTTTGCACTCCACGGTCCCTTCCACAGCACCCAACCCCATGGGTTGCGCAGGCGGATCAGACGAATTTTGGTGTCCTTTCCAATCTGGTCACACTATGGGTAATACATAAAGGGGGAAATAACTTTTTCAGCCTTGAGTATCATCTTTAAACTCTTTTGCAAAGATGCTATTAGGGGACGTTTTGCTTCACCTCCTCTAGACCTATGATGGAGTAGGCATGACCCCTCACCAGCCCGTGTTCGGTCCGAGTCTCCAGTTCACTTGCTGAACAAACCTGACACACAGCACACGTCAAAGCAATTCCCAGACTGATTTTAAGAGAATTTATGAGACTCAGGTCTAAATGTCATTATATGTTGACTAGAAACCATGTTAAATGTAATTTATCTTTTACAAATGAACTTTTGTTTTTCACTTCTGTTTTCTTTGTCGTGTAGATCACGTTTGAGATGAACCTTCCCTTGATGAATTTCTCTACCACTTACATCTATGGAGCAGCCCATCAATGAGCCTCTCTCCAGAGCTTTCCTCAAGATGTTGTAGAAGTCTTTGGGTGCCTCAGACAACTCAAAGAACTCAGTCACTCCACCTGTGAAATCCTCCATGGCTTCCAATGTGTTTCCCCCTTTCAGTGCCTCATAAGAGCCGTGCAATCTGAGATAGAGGTCAATCATTCTGATCATTGCGCTGACACATCTGTTATCTAAGGCTTCTCACAGTCTGTGCTGCCAACTGAGGACACATGAGGAGATGTGCAGCTTTGTCATGTGACTGCACTGGAAATAATTTACTCCTAAACATGGTGTTCGATCTGACATTGGGTCTTAAATCCTGTTTTATTGAAAGGGACTTCAATACATTTTCCTGTTATCTCCTGACGTTTAATTTTCAGATAACAACATTAGTCCAAAGGGTTGATCTGACATGCAAACCATATGAAATTTTGTCAAATCTGAAATGAAAAAAGTTGCTTTAAATATTCACTTCAGTTACAGGATTTGAAATCTGAGCCAGACTAAAAGAATAAATAGAAACAAGTCTGAGGTCTAATGTGATGTATTGACATATGTATGACTTCAGACAACAGGGTACTAATAGGCTCAACTTACTTGGCATAAGCTTTCTCTAAAAGAGCACTCCAGAATTCATTATTCCTAAAAGATTTGGTGAAAACCAACTGATTGTTGTGGGTGGGGATACGATCATCCACAACCACATCCACCCATTCCCCATAGCGCCAAAACTGGAAAGCAAGAAAAATTATAATAAATTAAATGATCAGAAATGCAAATAGACATGCAATAATATGGAGATTTTTCATTAGTCGTTCTATAATTAATGGTGCATTATAATTGGATAAATTCTATATATAAAATAGCTAAATTAAGTCAGAAAACATTCTGCAAATGACATTTTTGCTTTTTGGCACATTTTGTTTCATTATAATGATGAATAATGTGCATTTACACATGGAAAAATGCCTTAAGTGTTGAATAACCTGAAAGTGGAAGATTCCAGCGTAGTTTTCGGTGAAGTTCTGTTCCGAGGGAATCACCCTGTACAGCAGCTTCTCATTCAGCGTCAGACAGGCGATGGCAGCGAGCAGCCAGCAGTCACCTGTCAACAGCAGACTCATCAGCATTGATTTATTTCATATTTCATTCTAGCACATCATCTAAAGTCGTCCTGTCAACGATATATTACCTGCAGTGGAACACAGACTTTGAGATGTTTTTGCAGCCATGGACACGTTTCTGATTCATTTTTGAAAGGTTCACTTTCAATTGTCTATCATTCTGCAGCTTCAAAGCGTGTGGTCATGCATGCATTTTCAGTGGTCAGACTTTGCAACAATTTCTTCTGTCATTGTTTCCAGCCTGCAAGTTCTTGTCTGGAGAGGCTGTGGCTCAGGGGACCGAGCACCCAATCTTCCAATGGGTTATTGTGCTTTATACCTGATAATATCAGCTCTTTTTTTATGTTGTTAATATCAGGATTTTTTTATTATTCTTCTATTTCTATTCTTCTATTGTTTGATTTGTTTATGAAGAAGGTACTTTTAATGGTAGGAGATTATACTGAACAGAGCTTCATGTTGTCATGAATCTTTTTCTGTCTTCTTTTCTGCTCCACCATTTTCCATATCCAGAAACCCTTTTTATCATGTTTATTGTATTTTTCTCTCTGAGCAAGTTCAAACAATGTTGTGTCTGGAAGCAGAAACAGCTTAAATAAAATCATATTACCAAGTTCTCCTTGACAGATGTCTGTTCTGTTGGCTCCATCTACGATGAACTGAGGGTTTTCACAAATTTCCTAGAAGACAAAAAGGGTTTGAGGAGACTGAGTATTGTGTTTGGATCTTATTGTAAAATTATACGGATGTTATGTTGTCAACATGTCAACATGTATTGATTCTACAGCCATAGCAAAAAACGTAGTCTGAGTTATCAATATTTTCAGAACTCTTTACAAGACGGGGCACTGGCACTTTTTTCTCTCTCTGTTTAAAGAGATTGAACAGACTGAATTTTATTATTTTCATTGCACTAGATGCCTCTTTTAGATGGTCCTAAGGAGACAATGTTCTGGTTTTCCTTGCCTTTATGTAGCTCTCTTGTTTGGATAAACATAATTTTTGTAAATAGGCAGAATAAATACAGAGTGAAAGGAGAGCTCTCTTAAATTAGGCTCAACAGAAGTGACTCTTCATTGCATGATTTACAATAACTTAAGAAGTGAAAATGCAGACTCATGTTCCCAGTTTAGAGCTTGTTGCACAGCTGAACCCTGGAAGGTTCACGTATCACTAATCTCAGCCAAATTTCTTCGACTGCTGTGGTCATGTGCTGCGAAGCAGCAGGAAACCAAAAATAAATGTTGCACTGCAAATGTTGATTTTGTATAGTGACTCTGAAGGTCATTTAGGTTATGGTTATGAGTCAAATGTAGCTATGAGAGTGGAGTGGAAATCCATTTACATACATACATTTACTTCCATATAACCACGTATGGAAGTAAATACTTCCATATCATCACAACAAGCTGACATGCATAATGACCAAATCTATGACCAAATATAAGGAAACGCAACACTTTGAAAATTGTAATTTCGCTGTTTGAGTAGTTTAATTTATCCATTACACCCTTAACTGTAATTCACCATTTGCAAGAGCTTAGACTGACAGTTCTCACAAGTTTATGCATAAGCTGAGTCATATCTGAACAAAAAACTATAGTATTTATACTTGATTCTACAAACTGCGAATACGGCATGGAAATTCCCACTGTGAAGAGAAATCGACCATAATATAATGACAAGGTTTTCCAAAAACTGATTGCAAGGTCAAAAGCACAAAGATTTTGACGTTATAGGCTCTGGGGGAATTTTAGACAAACCACAGCAACTAAAAGGTAATGCTGTCTCTGAATCCTTAAATCCTTGCACGTAAATCATGATAACTTCAACAATATTCAAGGGAATATTCCTCCGGCTAAAAAAAACAACATATGTTTGCTGTTTTGATATTAAGTGTTGGGTATTGGGCAAAGGTTCTACCAGTCCTGTAATTCGACTTGTTAGTGTGCGCTTCTGTGTGAGTATGTTGGCAGGTTCTGTGAGTCAGAGGCATGTGTCTCTGTGCGCCAACTGAAGCTCTAGAATAGAAAACAGTCCTGACACCCCGAATTAACAAGGCTACAGGTGTTGTCAAAGAAAAATGACCGGAAACAGATAAATCCTGTTGGAAGCGTGCCAGAAAACTCTCTTGGCGTTAGACGTGGACACTGTCAGCTGTCTGTGTGACTGTAGAAGGTGATAACCCACAGCTATGTAGCCCTGTTGGTGCAGCACTATCCACCTGATCCTGTACCAATGTGCTCTGGAGGAAGTGTTTGGATACATGGGGATTTTACTTGAGAGCTTATAAAAACATGTTGAAGCCTCTTTTGCATTAAGTGCAAATTGACCTGAAGGATATGATGACCAAAGGGACACTCACCGAGGGACGCTTCCACTCAAACTTCAGGGAAGGCTTCTGGCTGTAGTAAAGCGAAGAGTCATTTGCAGGGAAGAGAGGGTCTTCAAACAAAACCTTCTTCTCCACATATTTGTCTCGCAGTTCCAAAAAAGTCTTCAGGCGCTTGGCGTCTTTGACAGCCTCGTTCCTGCTCAGAATCGCCGAGTAGATGGAGTTTGTCCCAGTTAGGCTGTAATCAGTTCTTCCGTCATGCTCAAGTGATGCCTCCGTTTCATACAGCACTTTAACCGTTGTTTCTTCAACAATGGGCAATTTGCCTTCATGCTTCTCATCCCCCATCACCTCAGCCTGTTGTTTCACTGTTGTAGTCTGAGAAAGAAAACTGAAGTGTCTCTCTTCTCTTAAAGAATATTACATTGGGTTGCAAAACACCACTTAAGAAATTTCCTGTATCCTCCCTGACTCTGATAATCAGTTTCAATTCCTCTTTTTTTTCCTCCTGTTTTGCAGGGCTGTGCGTTCACAGCTTGAGGGCCGTCGACTACCAGTCTCTCAGCCCAGAATTCAGTGCAATGTCCCTGAGCTGACTGCTCCTAAATATAGGCTTTTGAAAGGAGGGGAGGAGGCTTCTCGAAGGAAGACCATAACCAAACCCTTTCAGTTTCCAGTGAGATGGTCAGGGGGAGGTCAGTGGTGGGTGAAATACATAAAAGTGAACACATTTCACTTATTATGCCATCAAGCAATGTTTTCCTAGTGCTTAGATTTCTGGATAATTGTATTAAAATTAAACTACAGCATATTTAAACAATTCAGTTCAGTCTTTAAGAAAAAATTCTTAAGGAAATGGGCTTTAATTTTAAAGTCGAGGGTTTAGTTTGTCTCAAAGAGAATGCAGTCACAAACTTAATAAGTCTGCTTTACAACAGTATATTTTAACATTTTAATTCGTCATAAATGTGCTGTCTTAAACATTTTAATTTAATGTCTTAACATTGCACTGGCTATTTGAATATAGTTCTGATGAATGTATTTACCACAAAATCGACTAATGTGATGCAAGAAAAAAGTTGTTAAATAATGTAATAATAAGCATCTTGTTCTGCACGGGTTTGTGCTCGTGAAGCTCAGTCTTCATCACCATAGACATGTGTTCATCACAGCCACGTATAACGGAGATTACATTGACACCTAGTGGCAAAAAATTAAATAAATGACAGCTTGCTTTGACTTCCGGACCAACCTTTCACGATAACACGATGGCGTCAATTGGCTTAGTCCACTGTCAGTCTGCTGCTCATAACAAATTAAAACGTGAGTCTGCAGAGGACAGGGTTGCCAGGTTTTACAAATCATCCTTTTGTCCGACAGTTTTGGCCATATGGTTTTGGCCAGTAAGCGTTTGATCAGCCCAAATGGAGGATTAGGTGCGGGTATCTGGCAACCGGCCCTTAGCTCTGACGTCTACGGGCTCGTAGTGCAGTGTGCATCTGGAAGTTGACGCCATCATAAGTGTAAAGCTAGCCTTCAGCTCAGCCTGTCGTTGTGTTAGAAGATATCCTGTTCATAATACAGTTCGGCCCGTTTGGTTTCTGTCGAGCGTCTGTAAAGTGTGATGGTGTTGTTAACCAGTGAACGCGTCTAGGCCCGCCGCAGTGTTGTTGTCGTTCACTCAGGCCAGCAGCAGGACCTATTTTCAGAGCACATATTAGCAAGCTGGAGTCTTAAGAAGCTGCGAAGGAGCGGTGGGAAGCTACAGCCAGCTAGCGAGTCCGCTAGTTAGCTGGTGATTAAAGCGGCAGACACTTGCTGTGTGAGTAAGTAAAGCCTCGGTTGTGTGCAGAACCACACACCTGTTAGTTGTTTTCGCTGCTGTCAGCTGTGAAGGTGCTAACGGACCGGAGCCAAGGAGCTAGCAAGCGCTGCAAAGCTAACGTCAACCCCGCTGAGAAGCCCACTGGATTTAATGCTAACAGCTTGATAGCCTGCCGGGATTGAGCTGTCAAGGCGGTGTCTGGTAAACCAGAGCTGGCATCGTTACATTCCCCGTCTATAACAGGTACGTTTGACTCTGTGAGGTGACCCGGCTTTTATAGAGACATGTTTTGTGTAGATTTTTTTGTTGAAGCCACACACTGCGTGCTAACTTCATCAACAACTCTTAACGTTTACCCTGTTGTTGCATTTGCCATCTACAGCGCCCGCATCTCTGCTTTCACATGTTCTTACTTCTTTAGATGATTGTGCTGTGGTTGTGTAGTTTGTTAGTAATGTGTTGGAGGGATTTGTCTGTGTCATGCAGCAGGCTGCTGGGCCTGACAGCTGAGATGTCAGAGGGGGAGACTAAACAGGCCCCGGACAATGCCCAGGAGGGGAAGCCGGAGTCCATGGCCACTGCTCCCACAGGCCAAGGAGTGTCATCCGTGTCCCCACCAGTGTCCATGGTGACCCAGACCCCCGCCGCCGCTGCCACAGAAGATGAGGAAGAGGAGAGCGAGGATGAGTCGGAGATTTTGGAGGAAAGCCCGTGTGGACGATGGCAGAAACGCAGAGAGGAGGTAAGGGAGCGCTTTTGCGAAGAAGTCCAAATTTGATCACTAATCATGACGTCGCAGCCTTTGTTTCTGCTGCAGAGGGAAAAGATAATTTGCTGCATTTAACTCGTAACTTCTGTTGATGTCTGAGCCTGGTGATCTTTTTATTTATTTATATATTTTCCCCCCCAAAGGTGAATCAGCGCAATGTCCCAGGGATCGATAATGCTTACTTGGCCATGGACACAGAGGAAGGAGTTGAGGTGGTGTGGAATGAAGTCATGTTTTCTGAGAGGAAGAACTTCAAAATGCAAGAGGTGGGTGCTGAATCAAGCAATCTCTATTATTTCTAGGCCTGCATTTACACTTATTAAGAATAAAACGCTTTAATAAGGTTTAAAGATGTTTACTTAAGTGCTTTGTTCTTTATTTTTTCTTCTTCTGTGACCTCAATATAAATAGCTGCTTTTTATTTTCCTCATGTTTAAAGACTTAAGCTCCTTAAACATGTGGCCGAAGTTGTTGCTGCCAGCACCTGAGTAAAGTACACGCTAGAGCAGCTCAAATAATTCTTAGACAACAGTTTGGATAACAATTTGCAGGTCTGATGGGGATCTAGGATGTTAACTGTTTGCTTCTTTTGGTTATTGTTTAGTTTCTATGAGCACTTCTTTGGTTTCTAAAAAATTAAATGGACGCATTCATGTTCCCTCCAGAAATGAAAACGAATCAAAGAGCCATCTGTTGCTTACTTTATATCAGGATGTGGAAGTGGATGTGAAGTTTGATTAATTATTTTTGGTCTGTTGAGCCCATCTCAAATAAATCCATAACCTATTTTAAATTCTCTAGTTGTGCATCAGAGAGGTAATTAATTTGTTTTTGGTGTCTCCCACAGGAAAAAGTCAAAGCTGTGTTTGACAATTTGATACAGCTGGAACATTTAAACATTGTGAAGTTCCACAAGTACTGGGCAGATGTCAAAGAGAACAGAGCCAGGGTAAGAGATCGCACCAGGAAGCAAAGCATTTCCTTCTTGTGTAATGGATACAATAATTGTTTTCACGCTTTTCCTCTGTTCATTTATTTGTAGGTCATTTTCATCACTGAGTACATGTCATCAGGAAGTCTGAAACAGTTTTTGAAAAAAACCAAGAAGAATCACAAAACTATGAATGAGAAGGTGTGATTTAAGTTGTTTTTAAGCAGCTTTTAAATGTACTTCCTTGGAAACGGAGCTGATAACGTTGAGAAAAATCCTGTTAAGCTTGTTTTTAGTCTTTTCTTGCTTCAGTTTTACATGTACTTTTTTGTGTCCGACAGGCCTGGAAGCGCTGGTGCACACAGATACTGTCTGCTCTCAGGTGAGTTAGTTCCTCAGTTAGGTCAGTTACAGTGAATGAGCTGTTCGGGGTTACTGAGGGCAGGCAGCCGATCACAGCTCAGATGGCATGATTCGCTTATAGGGGCTGTGATGATTCTTCCAGTCCTTACTTCTAGTACCTACCTTATTACTAAACAAAGTTGAACTTTTCTAAACTTCCTTATTAATTTTTCTAAACTTTCTGTGCCCCCTTTACCGGACTTTTTTTTAATTAGCAGAAACATATCCTTTTGCACGGTTAATTTATTAACTTATTTCCATGTCTATTTTTACAATTAATCCTTTGATGAAATTTGGGTTAATACTCGCTCAGTTAAGTGGCAGCTCATCATAATCCTGCATTGTGCTGAGATGGCAGAATAAGATCTTTATCACATACTTTGTTCCTGTGCTTACTGGTTTCAGAGTGTTCATTGAAATAATTCAATAAATTTAACATGTCCCAGCAGTCCTTTTAAGCAATTTTTTTTTTTTTAGTTATCTGCACTCATGTGAACCTCCAATCATCCATGGTAACCTTACCTGTGACACCATCTTCATCCAGCACAACGGCCTCATCAAGATCGGCTCAGGTGGGCCTCAGAAACCTTTAAGAAGTTTTGCAGAAAATAGGATCATTTAGACTTTGTCACGCCTGCTCTGTTGCTTCTGACAACTTAAGATGGTTTTCCCTTCACTCTCACAGTCGCTCCAGACACAATTAATAACCACGTAAAAACCTGCCGGGAAGAACAGAAGAGCCTTCACTTCTTTGCTCCAGAGTATGGAGGTAAGACCCTGAATCTGATGTTCATCTCTGATAGCACCGAGCTCTGTGATACCAATAATACGCCTATGTTTCCAGCTGTTGCCAACGTCACCACAGCGGTGGATATCTATTCCTTTGGAATGTGCGCCTTAGAGGTGAGAGTCGAGCTTACTGCCGGAGTCACAGTAACACATTAATATACCAGTTATGTAAAAAAATACTTTCAGATCTGAAGTAGTGGAAGTTTTTTTGGAAACATGAAAGGCAGCTCATGTATTCTTCACTATCACATCATTAGATGGCTGTATTGGAAATCCAGAGTAATGGGGAGTCGTCCAATGTGTCCCAAGAAGCCATAAACAGTGCCATTCAGTCCCTCGAGGACCCATTGCAACGGGTGAGTGAGGAACAGGGTCCTGATGTCCGAGTCTCTGCTCAGGAGACAAAAATGAGCAAAAGCTGATGATTCTTTGGCCCCTCCTGAACCATTCTCAGGAATTTATCCAGAAGTGTCTGGAGATAGACCCCAGCAAGCGACCCACTGCCAAGGAGCTGCTGTTTCACCAGGCCTTGTTCGAGGTGCCCTTACTGAAGCTGCTGGCTGCACACTGCATCGTCAGCCACCAGCGTGAGTTTAAAGTCCAACCTCATCTTCACAAAGTCTGTAGCGTCTGTGTTACAGAAGTTTGCTTTGAAAGAACCCAAAGCAGAGTTGTTTTTGTTTTTTTAGACATGATTCCAGAAAATGCTTTAGAGGAGATGACAAAGAACATGGATCCCAACCTGGTAATTGTGGAGGCCAAGGACGGCGTTCAGATGAAGTAAGTTTGAGTGTTGAACTGTAGACTGCACGTGTGCGTGATCTCTGGTCAGCTTCGATTCATTCAGATCAGAGTGAACTACTAATACACGGTCGTTCTGAGCCTTTGCTTCTGCTTTTATTTAGTACTTCTTTAGTGATCTGGCTGTACATGTAACGCTTGCCCTTTTACACCAGACTCTCGCAGTTTCCCGCCCTTGAGCTGGACAAATTTCTGGAAGATGTGAGGTGAGAAACTAGTTTTAATCGAAGTTGAAAATGGGAACAGACGCAGCGTTGCTCCTGGATTACATGACAACGTAACTGTTTTCTTCAGGAACGGGATCTACCCTCTCACTGCGTTTGGGATTCCCTGTCCGCAGCAGCCTCAGCAGGAGGCCGTTAAGTCCCCCATAGTCCCCCCCTCAGTCAAAACCCCGACTCCCGAACCGGCCGAGGTGGAGACCAGGAAGGTACGTACATGAAGTAACGGGCGGGTCTGCAGAATGGCACCAAAACAAAATAGTCGCTGCTGGTTACAGCTGTTCTCCCTTTGGTTCCTCCAGGTTCTTCAGATGCAGTGTAACATTGAGCCAGTCGATGAGGGCACAAAGCACCATGTGAGCCCTCATCTGTCCTATGCCGAATTCTATTTGTTGTTTGTGTCCCGTCGTATTCTAAAAAAAGCTTTTCTTCTCCTGTCAGCTGACGCTGCTGTTGAAACTTGAAGACAAACTGAACAGGCACTTGAGCTGTGATTTGTTACCAAGTGAGTATCCTGATTGCAGAGTCTCATCCTGGTGAGAAAACCCTGCCTGGTGTGAAGCTACAGAGTGGCTGAGCAGCTTTATCAGAACAACACGGTGGTGTGTGGCTGCAGAGTCAGTTCGTGTTATCAGTGTGTGCGTCTGACCTACCATACGAGCATGCTAACGCCTGACAGCTCTCTCAGTGCTGCTTCTTTGTTTGGTTTTGCTCAGATGAGAACGTGCAGGAGCTGTCTGTGGAGCTCGTTCAGCTGGGGTTCATCAGTGAGGCAAGTGGAGTTTTTTTTTTTTTTTTTTTCCTTTTGACCCAATCGAACACTGGCACCAGTGGGGAGTTACCGTAAAACTAATGTTTACAACTCGGTGTCACCCTTTCCTTCCATTTCAGGGAGACCAACCGCGGCTCGCGTCCGTTCTTGAGGAGGCCTTTTCGAAGTTCTACAGCCGGAACGGTTCTCTCAACCCGGTGACGGTGTCCTCATAGCCTAGGACTCACCAGGCCTTCACTCAGCCCTCCTCCTCATCTCCAACAGGACTAGCTTTTGCTCCATGTCTGAGTTGCAGGAAAGCTTTGCGAGGACAGAGGAGGAAGCCTTGGTCTGATTTCAGATCCTGCAGCCTGTCCTTGAATCTGGTTGTGGGAAAAGCTGCCACTAAGTGGCTGTCGCTTTTTTTTTTAAATATATTTTTTGTTATCCCCACACAGTACAGCCATCTGCTTCTCTTTTTAAAGAGGAAATCCTAGTTGCAACATAATGGAAAGTACAAGTGTGTTCACTGTTTGGCTTATGTCCTCCAGTTCTGAAGGAGACTAGAACTGGGGGAAGTGTTTACCTTCAGTCAGTGTTAAAATGGTATTTTAAGCATTTTTACTTCAAACTGTTTGATAGCTGTTGATATGTCTGTTGTCCTGGCATACTGAGGTGTGTGTAACATGTTGTGAGGTCAAGCCTGGTTATCTGATCCTTTACACTTTCTCCAGAGCCGTGAGTGAGGCGTCTTCTGACCTCACATGAGTTGTGGAAAAGTCAGAGTTGCGTCAGACTTGAAAAGAGGCAAAGGTGATGTTAACATATTCCAGAAAGATTCAGCTGCACCACAATTGTTGAAACGTTGAAAGCAATCAAAATATTTATGTGTACTTTTCCCTGAGTGTGTGATTCACCTGGCTTCCAGCAGCGAGGCTGGGAGTTGTTCGAATGTATGCTTTTTTGCTTGAAACCGTACTCCTATTTTCCATGAAAAATGACTGTGGTCCAACAGCTTCATGTAGAACACTGCAGCATGCGTTCATCAGCACTGGCTCAGTGAAATGTGAAATGTTGGATGGTTGAGGAACTGCTTCTGAGCACTCGATAGTTAATCAGCAGGGTTGGTCAATCTACGTATGCCCACGTCTGTACGGAAAGCGATGCATGGAATAAAGTTTTTTCCGGATTTGGTTCAGTTATCTATTTTAGGATTTAACCTAATTCTTCACGCAAAGAAACTTCAGTCCGCCTCCGCCTGTCAACTTGTATATTTTCTTACACTTTCGGTTCCTTCATGGCTGAGATGGCCTCTTTTTTGTTGTTTTAGTCACCGACTCATTTTTGTCTTATCTGTTAAAGTTTTTGAGGATCTCTCTGCTAGTTTGCACAGCTGCACACTTCCGTATCCTGTTGGAAATGTCCTGCGGGAGGAACGTTGGCCATTTGGAAATGGAGTCTTTGTAAATCTTAGTGGGAGATCCAGACTCGTCTAAGCTGTGACTACCTGCTGACCGGGGTCTACAGATACTAGTGTGGGCTGCCCGACATGCTTGTACCCATCTTGTACACTGTATGCTGGACACTTTTCTCTGTTCTCACATTGCTTTTACCTTCTTTTTACACTTCCCAGAATAAAAAAAAAACACACATTATCAGCAAACCCATTTTCGTCTTAATTTCTTAATTTACTGAAAACAGATGATCTTTAATTCAAGATTGGATGAGTTGAAGCGGCCAAATAAAATATTGGATATATATCCACTGATGTATTTGATGCCTTTAAATTTTGAATTTGAGAAAAGATGTGCACACAGGCCGAAAGATCAGACAAAATTCAAGTTTAAATAATTCATACAAAAGCCCGTCCTGCTGTGTGAGGAGAGTGACGTCTAACCTCAGAGCATCACTAGATTGACAATAATTTGTTCAAAATGTTTACAAACCGTAGCCCTTGTACAGGTATGTCCATGTACAGAAAGTCACAATGTGCGCTCAAACAACAGTTGAATAAAACACGTCATGCCGACAAACACGTTGCCGTACAAAATTACAGCAGTAAAATTGAAGTACAGCGAAAAAATAGCTTTCATATAAAACACTGTAGAAACACACTCTAAATAAAAAGCTACCAAAATGGCCACATCCGGCTTATCAGCTGCGTGGGTTTTTTTCAATTCTGTACATTTGTGAGTTTAAAAAAAGAAAAGAGGAAATAAAAACTACAAAAACAGTACAAAGCACTTCAATTCAAACACATTACTCTTTCACATTAAATTAGGTTTACTTCCCAGTCTGAAAGTAATGTATATAGGCACAGTAATTTAATCAGTCAGCCGTGTTTGGTGAATATCTTTACTTTGTTATTCATTATTCTGCTTGAAGTCTGGAAGTTTGGACAACCGCTCAGTTCCCTTCCTCGCACTGTCTCGGTGCATTTGTTGGACAACCAGCAGCATCAAAATGCCACTTGAAAGGGAGCTGCAGCTCCTCTCACTGCACCCCCTCACTCCTATCAGGTCACCATGACAACAAAACATCAATGAACTGCTTTCATAAGAGTTTCCCAGAAATCTGACGTCTGATCACATAGAAACGATCCAAATCTGAAGGGCCTCATTCAAAATCAATCAGCATTTCAGATTTTTTTTCTTTTTCTGTTTTTTTTTTAACATAAAAAAGCACAACTTCCATCTGAATTTCAGCACGATCCAAATATTTCTCTATTTACAAGCAGACAAGCAGACAAGATAAACTTGTTAATACCTGCCTTACAGAAATTATGTTTAATAGTTACATTTACCCTTTCAGAAACACGTGATTAGCATATTTCTTAGTCCAGATTTGATTTCATAAGACATTTTATATTCAAAAGTCCATGAACTTAACTCCCTTTGGACTCACTGTTTGATACATCTATCATTTTTGACCATTGGTCAATTTACATCAGAGTTACACATGTGTAAACAAAGAACTAAATTATGGCTGAGTTCCATTTAGCTGCATCAGTGTAAATGTCCTGATACGGAGTGTGATGGTGAGATGTGCTTTTCTGTTTTTTCCCCCAATAAATCATTTAGCTCTATGCTGGAATTCATAAGAAAGACAGGGATTAACAAACATTTTGAAGCTGGTAATCAGGATTTTTCAATCAGTTTTAAAGCAGACTATAATCATTCTGAAAAAAGAATGAAAGATAAGGTTGACATTTTCTAAATTCTTCCACTCTTTTAAGCACAATACTTCATGTAAAACCATTTGAATAATGCCTAATGCTTTGTTTCACTTACATGCTGGAATTTTGGTTGCTCAAAATGAAAATTGGATATATCCATATATAATAATTTGATAACGATCGCTGTGTCAGTATGTGAATTTTACTCTATTAGGTTCGGCTCTACTCCATGCTGCGTATTTCAGTGCTATTGTCGTCACTTGAGTTGAACAGCCGAATCCATCCTCAGATCTGCACAATGTTAATCTACAGGATCTGAATCAGCATTGATGTTGTGCTTTTCTCTGCTGACGTTGCTTCAGTGATGATGGGTGAAACTCGGCCCGGAGCGGCTCTGCATATTACATACCTCGTTTCAAAGTGAAACACTTCGAGCTCTGATGTGGGAGGAGACAGGAAAAAAAAATCGAAGAATATCAAGTTAGCACCAACAGTGCAGCAGAATGCAGTCAGCCTTGTGGAGGCTTGCTCTGTTTTCCACTCCTGACTGAAAACAGGCGTCTTCACGGTGTCATTTAGCTTCATGGTAAACTTATCTGGTCCTGCCGAGCAGATTTGATGATTCAACAAAGCTTCATGGTGTCCCTTTTTTTATTTATTTCTTCAGGCACTGGTACATCAGTGCTCTTGGATTCAGCATGTAGCGCTCGGAGTTGAGTAACTTGGTGAGATACTGAGGCACCTGAGGCCGGGTGGCCACGTAGGAGACACCGGGGCTGACCGCCATCACCTCCGCAGTCTTCTGCTTCATCTCCCGGATCTCTCTGTCCTGCCTCTTCACTTTCTCTGTCAGACAGACAAAGCAAAATATGACGACTGGGGGACAGGGATACCGGATGTTCAAATCCTGCATGGCCAATAACTATTTAACATCTATTTAATATTTTCTATTTTAGGTAGAAAATGGCCTCCACATAGGTTTCTATCTGTCGAGGCAGTGTGATATTTCACTTTTGTATTTTGGATCTGCAAAAAGGCTCAGACGTTTGTTTGCTCTGAACCAAAGACTCAACACAGAGTTACTATTTATAGCAGAGGGCATTATGTGTCACTTGGTCACAGCTGCACAGTGACTACATGGGGTATGAGTCACCACACCACACAGGTGGCTCTTTATTAAGTTCTGCCACCCAAACGCAGAGAGCAGCACAACTCCAGGATGAAAACTCAATTCAATACCTTTTTATTAAGCTGATTTCCTGCCCAAATGCTGTGTGGTTTGATACAATTCATTAAACTGATACCCAGATAAGAGTGTAACCATCTCCTCAAACGATCTACCCTTCAGGTGTTTAGATGAAGAAAACAAGCCTTGTTATCTTGAGGTAATCGGAAAAATAAACCCATTAACACAGCAACTTTTGCCTCTCTATCTTAGGTTAGCTCTGCAACAAAGAAATGTTAAATGTTAATGTATCCGGGTTATAAATGGTATGCATATTTTTCATTAGGTCCTGAGATAAAGTGTTTGTCTATCAGTCAGATAGTTGGTGTTTTGATTCTAAACCAGTTGGATTGCTGAAGCACCTTTAGATGAGGTACTTATACCCACCTCATCCCTGATATATTGTGCTTCAAAGGGCCTACTCATGAGTAAAGCACCTCTTATATGCAGCCCATTACCATTTCTAAAAGAAAAGTGCTGTTGTGGTTGTAATTCTTAAAAAATCTCTTTTTTTTTTCTTTGTGAAAATCCAGTTTTCCATCACATAGAGATCTGGTTCAACTTTCTGCGCTGATGGGGATAAAAATCTAATTTCCCGGTGAAACTAAACATGACTTTATTTTCTCAGAAATAGACGGTGAACCTTGAGCGATCTCCAGCTGGCGGCGGGCGTCTCCCAGCGCAGAGAACAGGTCCAGCTTGATGCGGGTCTCAGCGCTCAGGTTGTACTCCAGGTGCTGGGCTTTCTCCTGCATGGCCGACAGAGTGGACAGCAATATGTCCGTCTCTTTCTCCACACACCGGTACTTTCCCAGACCCTGAGTCCAAAAAAGAAAAAAGAACATCAATATTAAGGACAAATGTAGAACGCCAAAGGCTCCTGGGACCCCCTCAGGGAGTCGGTGCTTTGGTTTCCCAAGAGTTTTTTTATTTTTATGGATTCGCTCAGAGGAACCAATGCATTTCAGAGAGAAAAGAGTTTGAGATGATCAAGTAAGTGGCCAGCCGTTCAAAAAACCTGTGCATTATTTTGGGGGGATTTTATGAAAGTGGATTTGTTTTGTGTCAGCATAATTTAAAAAATAATTTTCCACTTTTATCAAAGGTGGCCTAAATACCAGCTCTTTCTAAAGCAAGGCAGTTTTTCTGAACGACCTGGCATGTTGGAGCATGCATTATGGAGAAAATGTCACTAAAATGAGATCAAATAGCACACGGTACAACAATGCACACACCAGATGTCAGACAAAAACGACCATACAATAAAACTGCATACTGATGTGATCACAAAGTGCGATACGTTCACCGCAAGCCAAAGTAAAGACAAGCACACTACATGTCACCCAATATAAACCATTCCGTTTGATATGAAATTTCACATTAAAAAACACAAAAGCATGTCAAACAGCAAAGACTTAGATCATGACCAAACGACGAATCACTGGACCACTCGAGACTCACAGACAGTCAAAACTCACAAGTTCATTCCCAAATAAAATAAAGAGATACCTCAACATCTCTCTCTAGATCTACCACACGACTGTCTTTCACTTGATACTCCAGCTGTAGTTGTTTGTACTCTGTGTCTAGATCTTTAACCCTTTTCCTTAACATTTGGGTTTCACAGTGTTCCTGCCTGGTGTAGGAAATGGAGAAGATGTCAGTTGTGAACAGAAAGAATGAGGTTTTATTAGCAGTAAAGATACATTACCTTAGCACCTACTAAATTTAAGACATTAAGAAAAGACATAAGAAACAAAACAAGTAATCCACCCTTTACAATTTCAAAGGTTCTACTATTAAGAACTTACTAATGAAAAGTAAGAAAATGAAAAAACAGCATCTACTTCTTACCAGTTCTTCAAATTAAATGAAGAATTGCAACTCTGTCCACCGTCCCTCTTCATTTTAAGAAATTATTTTGTAAAAATTCTGCTGTTTACAATTTCAAGCGAATTTTATGAGTCAAGCAGACGGCCTTGCATTTGACTGTAGAATTCTTTGGTATACAGAGTTTATTAATCCATTAGCTCAATGACTGCAGAACTTCCAGGTCCCGTAGAAAAACATTCCCAAATCCCAAAGGCGTTTGTATCGACACACTGTTTGATTTTTTCTAAGCGTGCTGCTGTGCTTTGTTGCCAGGCCTCTTTATTGCGGTCTCATCTGTCTGGAGGACAATGCTCCAGAGGCTTTGTGGTTGAAATCGAAGCCATTTCACAATTTTTGTGGTACGACTGCTGCTACAACCTGTTTCGATTAATCCACCAGCATGAATGCACTGATAATCCCACATTTTTAGAATAACAAAGCATCACTTCAGACAACTAAAATATAACAAATAAAAAGGTTTTGCTAAGGTTCATCTTTGCAAAGCTATTCCTATTTTTCATATTTCAGTGCTTGAGTTTTAAAATATCATCTTGAATCAAATCATGATCAGGAAGGCATCAGTGCACAGCTGGTGGTTTATTAAGGTTAAGTAGGTTAGTATAGGCTGGTGTAGTCTGCGCTAAATCTTAGTTTTGTAGGCATTTTAAGCCAGTGGCTTGACGACAGTAAGCAAATTACAAAACTAAAGAAATAAGAACGATTAAAGCCTGTATACAGCCTAACCTGACTCTGTTTGGTTTGAATAGAACTCAGATAGTTTTGTCAAATGTTCATTAATAACTAAAGACCAAAGACATCAGAGGGGAGTTTATCTCCTCCTCTAACCCCACAGCATGAACGTAAACAAGAAGAATTCATTGTGTGTTTGGCTACGAGAAGCAAATGAAGACACAGGAGTTTGGCAGGAGTGATTTACCTGTTTGTGAGGCTGCGTGCTGTGTTCGCCGCGTCCTCCACTTTCTGAGCCTGGAGCTCAGCTAACTGTTTCTCTGCAGAGAGCCTCGCCTCTGCCTCTGCTCTGGTCTTTTTCTCCAGCATGGCACTGGTCTGCTTGTCCCTCTGCTTGGTTTTATTCAAGCACAGAATCCTACAGCCAAGACAGTAAGTTCACTTTTAATGACCTCCAAAATGACCACAGACACGGAAGAGAGAGTAAGAAATTGTGTCAGATTTTGACACACGTAAAAGTTTTCTTCTGATACTCCTGGTGGCACTTAAGTTTAAAACTGGAGCATGTCTTATCAAAGCCGGGTTTGTAATCCGACCCGCACAGCATGCTCACCTAATGCACGATTTAGAGCCTCTGGCTGGTGGGGGTGCTTTGATGTGGCAAATGTGTTGGAAGTACCTCTGTGACTTATCAAGAACATTTTCCAAGTCTAAATGTGCTGAGAGTACTGAAGTGGTTTGGCAGATAGTCAAAGCAACTGTGAGGGGAATATTTACCAAAAAAATAAACTAAATCTAGGCTGAATAAAGGAAGAAAATGTTTTAAATGATACACTGTATTAACTGTAGAATAAATGGTTCCTTAGCCAATTTAATTGCTGCTTAATGTTTTAATGAGAAACTTTTTCTCAGCTTCTAAAATCTCTTTAAAAACGATGTAAGGGTGTTTCTAGGAAAAACAAACACCTTTCTATTATTCTGTTTAGGAGACCAGAACGCTTAGGAGGCATTTCTGTGTAAAACAGCTAACACATGCAGCCTGGGACACAGCCTGATTGGTCGGATGGCTCACTTGCTCTGCAGCAGCATGTTGGACTGTCGGAGCAGGGAGACCTCCGGTCTCAGGCTCCTCTCGCTGTTGGTCAGGTTACAGATGTGACTTCGCAGCTCCTGTTCGCTCTGCCTGCTGGTCTGCAGCTCGCCTTTCAGCCTCCGCATCTCTGTCTCCAGTCTGAGGGATTAATCGGGGGCGGGGGAAAAATACTTTTTTTTAAGCAGAGATTTGGGCGTTTAATACTTAATTTAGCTCATCTGAACTGAGGTTAATGGGCGCTTACTTGCTGATCTGTTCAGCGTGGTAGGTCTGGGCCGCTGTGGCGCTCTTTTCTGTCGCGTCCCTGTTGGGGCTGATAGTTTTGGAGCTATTCCTCTGTTTCTTCTCTGTCCTTCCTGAAGGTGGCGAAGGAGTGTTTGTGCTGCCCGGACGGGTTTTTGGCGAGGAGCTCTTGGCCGCCCGTGCGTTCTTGCCTCCCTGCTCCTCCTGAGGTAGATTTTCGGGGGTCGCAGATGATTCCGGTCCTCCCGCCCCGCTGTGAAGCTGATCTTTGGGCTCGGCCATCCCAGGTTTGAGGGGCGCCGACCGGCGGTTGGATTCGCCTGACCTTGCCTCCTGAAATGCTTTGTCGGCCGCTCTGTCATCGCTGCGGATCTGGAGGCAGTCCACGGTGTGCACGTCATCGTGGGCCACCACAGCTCCGTTCTGACAGTGATACTGACCTGATTCAGGCCTGTTCTTCCATTTAGAGCCTGCAAAGCACAGCACAACTTTACTAAAAGGACTATTTCCCAAAATGAACATTTTTCTGCTGACTTTCACATGAAGTACTGACACAAAAAGCATTTATTCAGTCATTTAGTATGTATTCACATACAACTGAAGCTACATTATGAAGCATCTGTGCCTGACAAGGAGACTGTTGTTGTGATCCCTGCAAAAATCCGTCAATAGTTTCTTTGGGATGATATTAATATCAACTATACAGTATATGGACAGTGGAAAGCAGAATACAGATTGGCAGAAAAGATTATGAGGCAGTTACGACTGTTATCACCATGCAGACTTGTTGGTTGAGAATATGTCTCAGTATTTGCTGCTGTATTTACACTCGCTGATCATTGAGTTTTCTTAATTGGCAGCTAGCTGAGCAATCGCTGCCAAAAGCTCTGACTATATATTTCAGACATTTGTGTTCTCACGCAGCCCCCACCCCAGAAAATATCTGGGAAAAATTCAAGGCTGCCTTGCATATGTGAAAACAGCTTACATAAGCACAGTAGTAAATCAAATTCCATTAATACCAGAAACAGACAAAGAATATATTAGACTTGGTTTAGGTAATGTTGTATACATCAGATCAACAGTAAAGTGCCACAAACATAGACTGCATGCTGAGATCGACAAAATAAAGGTGATTGCAGCTGAAAGAAGAGCAAAAAACCTGCAGGTAGTTAGAAGTGTGGCTGAGTGGATGGTGCAGGTGCTCAGACTTACTGCTGCTGCCATCTGTGCCGGTCTTGGAGTAAACCTGCAGGCCTGGTGGGAGCGAGTGCTGGAGGAGGTGCATGTGGAAGTCATTCTCACTCTGCACCGCTTTCTGTATGCACAGCTTAAAAATGTTGGCAAAGTAGCAGGTGGTATCAAACCACAGACTGACTACAGGAAATCCAACACTGAAAGGGAATACAGAAGAAAAATCAAAGGAGTTGCATGAATACTCCAGAAATTTCAGGGTCTTAGAACAAAAACACAGCTTGTTAAATCCCTGAGGACACAAATATGTTGATTTAAAAAAGTAAATATAACTGATTAGATTTGAGTGATGAAACAAGCTCAAATAATTTAGCTACAAATTCAAGGCTGCAAGAATCCATGAAATTCTGATAAAGCATATTTGTATCCAGTCATCATACCAGTGTGCAGCTAAAAGATGAGATACGTTGGGATGAGAGGTACTAAGATCTTTGAGTCGAAGCAAAGCCTCTATGTACACAAGCAGAATCCACAGGGACACCGTCGATATACAAATGCCCTTTTCTGAAAAGAGAAATCAACAATCTGAATGGAGAAACACTGATTGCAATCCCATTTCAAAAAAAGTCGGCAAGCTTTGTAAAATGAATTTCACGAGGACCCAGAATTAGGTTTTAATTTATCTAGGTAATTCAGAAAAGGTTTAGGGTGAAAAATGTTCCATCATATAAAGCTAATGTTTGACTTTTTTTTTTAACAAAGCTAGAACCTGACTGATGAACAATATTGTTTATTCTTTTTTTAAGTAAAAAATTGCAACAATTTAATTGTTTTTAGAGATATTTCCAAAATCATGATCCTTTGTGTCATGTCATGTTTTTCCATTTATCTTTCAACAAAACAAATCACCTAAACATCCCTAAGAGTGGTGATTCTATTTTGCTTTCATGTTTAAAAAAGAAGCACTAAACTGTCTAAACTATTTGTTCAAATAAGGGAGAAAAAAGCCCATGATTGTATATCAACCAGGGGTGGTGACAATGTTGACTTTCACAACTACAGAACTCCCTAAACTGTTTCTCTTACGTGTGTGTAAACAACTGATCCACGCACTCACCTGTGTGCCAGATATAAATGATTAATACGTAGCTGCTTGCCACGAAAAACAGCCAGTACAAAGGGACAAAAATGAAACAAAAGATGTCCAGTATGAATGCGGCGCAAACAAAAATAACACAAATGACCTGAAAACAGAAAAACAAATACAAGGAGATTTTAGTCTGAGTCATTTCCGCTGCGCTGAATATGACATCAAACAGCGGGGGTCCTCACCAGCCCCTGGCAGTGGAAAGTGGTGTACACACTCCCAACAAAGAGCCAGCAAGGCCACAAGTACTCCAGCCTGAATTCCACAATGAAATCTGCCAGCAGCACCAGCATCCACATCACCACAAACTTCAGGAAGGTGTACGCACTGCAAAGAGACGAGGAACAGATAAGGAAACAACTCCGTTTTCATCCCTGTGACAGGAAATTAGTTCAAGGGGAATATTTCCATGGGATTAGTGGGGAACAAAATTAATCTAATTTCAAAACGTCAGGATGCAGTTATGTTAAACTCAAATATTTCATCAAATAAGAAAAATAGCAAAAGACTGGTTATCACAGAGCTGAACCTACAATTACACATCTGCATCTTAAAAACAAAGGCCACGCTTTGAAATGGAGGAAACAAAGAGCAATGACTGTCCCCTCATTTATTTTACCAGGCAGTCACAAGCCAAACAGAAGCTGTGGTTTGCTCCTTTGTTCTGCTCATCCATAGGCTGCCATCACATCACCCCTTCTTTGTTTGGTAACCATGGCAATATTTCATCTGGAGGAAAGAGGGAGCACCACAACATCCTTCGGCTAGCTGGGATCTGTCTATATATGTGACCAAGACCTAAGATTTTACACCAATCTGGTGTCATTTTTACGTCTGAGAATGTAGAGTTGTTCGAAAATATCAAATTATATTAAGAGGAAAAATGCGAGGAACTGCAAGGGAAAAGATTATAAAATCACTCCTCCGAGTTAGAACTGTAATGTTTATGAAAGGGGGTGTTTCACTAACGCTGAGTTTGTTTGTTTGTTTGCTAGAATGAATGTTCACAAATAATAAAGAAAAATGGAGGTGGGGGAAAAAAGGGGGAAACAATACAAAATACTAATATCACAAAATACTAATCAGGAATTAAATATGCCTTACTGAATAAAAAACTGTGTTATCAGCCCACTGTTTGTTTTTTTATATAACATAATTCACTGCAAATAAATCAGCTAAATCAGTCCAATGTATATGTGACAACTATTTCCAACAAACCAGTCAACCGAACATACACACACACACACACCGAAGCCAAACACCAACAAAGCCCAGCTTTCCTTTAGTTGACAATTTTTGCAAATTCGGGAAAAAACTCTTCAAAACACCTCAGCTTGTGAAGCTCAAAGCTAAATAACAAGTCTCTCGCATTAACCGAAAAGATTCCAAATGACATGAGTGATTTCTTTGTGTGTTTATTCTGTGACGTCCCGTCTGGATGCTCTCTGCAAGCTCATTTTTCTGTGAGAAAATGGCCGTTTTTTCTTGGAGCCGAGCAGGTGATAATCTCCTCCAGAGCAGGCTCCAGACTGGATTCAATAAGGCAAAAGGAAGCAGGAGACAGTGGAGATGCAGACTGAGGAGGCTGAGGGGGTGGTGGTGGTGGAGGGGGGGAGCAGGCCGACGTCAACTCGCCCAGCTGCTGCTTTTCTTTTCTGTAAACAACCCGGAACCCGCTAACTCTCGAACCGCTTCCCTCGAACCGGGCCGCCCGGACGGTATTTTAGCCCAAAAAAAAGCCCCCGAAAGCGGAGGTGAGACGCGGGTGAAGCGACGGCAGACAGGTGGGCAGGATGACGACGGCTGAAATTCACACAAAGACCTCCACAACAAACAAAAGCCGCCGCCAGGCGCTCCGCTACCTCTCAGACAGCCTCTCCGTGATTTTCAGCTTTTTCATTTTCCGAAGCCTGTTCGCGTCCACATATCGTTTCTTCATCTTATGGCTTCTGCTCCCTCCGTGCTGGCTTTTTTTCTTCTTCTTCTCTCTCTCTTCTGACACCGCAGCCGCAGCGGCAGCGACCGGGGGTGGGGGTAGGGGGGGAGGAGGGGGGTATATAAAGAGGGCAGAAAGAAATAAAACAAGCCGAATCCCTCCCTCCGTGTGGACGAGGATGCTCGCTTTAACCTGTGATGATGTCTGCGAATACAGGCGGAGAGCGGCTCTGCGCATGCTCAGTGGCGCCTTGTACCTACAAGTGTTAATCGCAGGAGGGGGGCAGAAGACCCCGGTCTGAGTGGGGAAGCTGTTCATTAACTCCAGGTTTGCAGGCCCACAGAAAAACCCGCAGACAAAAAACTAAACAAAACCAAGCAGCAATTACTCAGATTACTGATGCATTTTCTGTTCACTCAAGTTGAAACCGTTGCGTGTTTTAAGCATGGAGGGTATTGTCATGTACGAATTGGAATGTGGTTTCCCTCTAATGCTGAAGATAGAAAGATGTTCCATCTTAGTACAAAGGGGTTTCCTCTTTTTTCAAACGAGTGTTCAAAGATTTCTTCTCCACAGGCGTAACTTTTTGTCATTGCTGCCCCCATGAGGATGTGAACAAAAACTAAAGCCTATCAAAGATTATTCTAAAGGCAGCAACTGCCATCAATTCAAAAGTGATAATCGGAGTCACTGTTATGTGTAATTGATTTAATAATAATCAAGTTTATTTACTCAGATATATACATTATTTGCTACTTAATAGCCATATAGTTGCTCAGAGCAATTTAAAAAAAGTTTATTGCTTTGATATAACTCTATGTAGCAAAATTCATATAATTATTCTAGAAAAAATAAGTCAATTCAAGTGATATTACTTTGCATAAATGAAGAAAAGCATGTAACCTCTGCATATTTTGAGATTTAAATACTTTTTCACAAACTTTTTAATCACGAGACGACGGGAACCTGATCCATATCCCCAATCTAAGCTGGATATTTAATTGCTGTTTATATTTGATGGTATCAGGGTTTAATTCAAAAGTATGTATTTGAGTGGCGCTACATCCACTTTGTCACCCTCCCAACAAGAGAAAACATTTGTTTCACAAGTGCCGTGTTCTCATCAGTTTTGTTTATCTCAGAAACAGATATGCCCTTGAATTTATGTGATTATTTTATCCCGGAAACAACAACAAACTGGCACATAATGCAAGATGTCATTATCTTAAACACTATTTTAAACCATCATGGTACACTCTCTGTTGCAGCACAGATTTATAAAACTTTTTTCAGGCTAGTGAAGTCAGCACCTTCAAAACTGCTGAAATGTGTTGCTCCAGGAAAGATTCATTTGACACAGACTTGAACAAAGACGGCTTTTATTTGCAGCCGGGCCCATATCAGAATACAGATGGGTGCATGAAATCTGCCGGATGTCATAGAAGTCTTCCTAACACTGGACACCTGTTCTTTTAAAGGGTTTCACATGACAACTTCCACTGCATTTCAGTCATATTAGTTAGCTTTTCATGTTAGATACACTGCATTCCTCTATGGGCTTCAACTACTCTGTCTTTAATATGAAATATTTCTCTGTGGCCGGTTTTACTAATTTGTTCTTTTTACATGTGTCCTCAGAAGGGAGTTCCCTCCTACGTGCGATAAAAAAATTCAGCAAACATCACAGACAAACAACAGAGACAGAAGTTTCTACTTCTCTTTGACTTCAGCCAGCGGCTGTGACGAGAACCTGTTCATGTCCAGTGACAAGGACCTGGGGCAATGTGTCCAAGCCTGGTACGAGAAGGTGAAAGATTTCCGCCATGAAGTGTGGAGTGGTGGGACACTGCACACGGGTACGGTTTTATTTACAGTGTTCATGTGTCACTGCTTAATTCTGTCTCACACACATGAACATGTATTCCTTTTAAAAAAACATATTAAGTTAGGCACTTTTGTCGCTACATGTTGTTTGGTACAGGTCTAACCAGGCTTACTGTCCTAACTCTAAATACAAGTACTTCAACGTCTGCCACTACTGCCCACCGTAAGCATCCTGTACAACAGAAAAGAACATGATAAATACGACTGTTAATATCTTCTCAATCCAATCAATCTCTGTCGGCATTCCAGCGCACACTGAGTGACTCGGAGTTCCCGTTTACTGCAAACAATGCTAAAACTGGATGATGTACTGGCTTGTGTCTCCTGTCAAGATAAATAACTACATGAAAACAATAGTTCCTCTTTCCAATGAAACATAACGCTGACTAAACAGGGATCGAAAAGGTGCTTCTCTATCAGATGAAATTCCTGAGTTGTTTGGGAAGATATCCAGAGTGAGACTTTGCTGTGATGCTTAATATTTGATGGTCTGGCCTACATTACAGTGGAAACTACCAGCTGGCTCGGCCGTACAAGTCAGGACCCTCCTGTGCTGAGTGCCCCGCAGCCTGTGACAACAAACTGTGCAGTAAGTGACAAATACAGAGCTGAAAAAATGTGGTCTTTTATCCATTTTTGGAAACAAAGACCGGAGTTTGTATTTACGCCGAAAGAAAATGTTCCTTTCTTTCAATACTTCCTAAATCTTGCTCTCGTAGACAATCTCTTGTCTCTCAGACAATCAGATTGTCCAAATGCCTTGTGGCCACGTATGCTCATTTTCAATAAATAGCTTTTAAATATCATTCAAACTTGGGTTTGTTTCTTGTCTTTGCTCATTTAAAGTGAAAATATGCCACCGCTTGGTTTTTCAGGAAACAAACATAATTGTTTTTCTGTAACAAAAATATCGAGATCATTTGAAATAGTAAATAAATATGTACAATTGAAAGGCCGATTTGAGGTTTTTGAACTCATCTTCCTTATGTGAGCCGTCAGTGGAGCCAAAGGAAACAGAGTGAGATAAGTCAAATTAAATTTTGTTTTTTGTTTTTCGCCAACGGGTTCAGTGATAGCAGAGCTCCTATGGTTTGGTTGAGCTTGATAAGGCTGGACTTGCCATCCTGTGGGGTTTATCGACTGCAGCAGCAAGCCTCCACAGTTAGTCCCAGAGCCAGAAAATGTTTATCACACTGGCGTCAGTTTGGCGTCCTTAACTGTGTACTTAAGTTCAAATCAGATATTTTCTGCCAAGACAGCTACTAGCAATGCATTTATATATCTGCATGGCATAGACAGCCTGTCATCAACTAGAGGGTAAACCATCCAGCTTTTCTAATTAAACAGTGTTAGAAAAGATTAAAGCATGGAAAAAACAAGATATTATAAAAGACATGGAGAACAAGAGGGAGGGAAACAAATTGGCGGAAGTGCAAAAAAGACATTTCCATGGGCAGGAAGACACACACAGATCCATCACATCAGTGTGTTCAGACTAAAGAAGTTCATTTAGTCTGGCTTGTTATCTTGCCACATCAACGTCCCCTCGGAATAGAAACAGGATGCAACAGAAAAAAAGCTTACAAAAACGCTTACACTCAAAACTGAGTGAAGATCTCAGGGCTCAATGCAACTGACTATTGACTTTGTTTGACAAACTGCAAGAAGAACAGGAATATACTAATTTTTTAATTTGTCTTTCATTTGCAGACATAAAATTTGTCCACGGTTGGGCGCATAAAACCTTAAAGTGACTTGAAACATGTAACAATGCGTTATATTGTGGTGGCATGAAATATTTTGATAGATTTCAAATGAATAAAAGATACATCATAGTGAGCTACATTATTTTACCTGTAATGACAGGCAAACAACTCAAAGAGAGATGGGATGGTTCCAAAATGCAGTGAATTCCGAAGAAAACCAAAACCAAGGAATTGACTTGAAAGAGAGACACAGAAACTCACTGTAAAGAAGAAAGGGGAACCAGAAGGAGAGGCATTGATGCACAATAAGGATCTGGCAAGTTCCAGGTTGCAGCTCTCTTCCCTCCTAATAGTTGCCTAGGAATCAGAAACCAGGGGTTGCTCCTCACCAGCTTGAAGTAACACCTGTGGAAATAGGAGGTCCTGCTATAGGAGCAATCAGAAAGGCCTTTGGGTGCTGGGAGTGATGTAAACACACTGCTTCCTTCCTTTCATTGATTGCTTTTAAATGCAATTCAACAAGGCCTGCTAACAAGCGGCTGAGCTCACCTTTTAAGCTGTCAACACAAAACAAGGACACATATGAACCACAGCCAACTGTAAACAGATCTCCTCTGTGACATGCTCAGGCACTGACAGATCACCATCACCGATAAAGACGTGAAGGAAGGGGGACTAATTTCTAATCTGAATTTTGTAGCTGGTGCTACCACATCCACATGCTTCCCCATATTGTCCCGAGAAGCCAGTAACCTATGGAAGGGGAATGCACTATGGGGCCTTTGTGTGTCCAACGCTTTATAAACTGCCTGTTCGTGACATGTGGTTGTTGTTTTATAAGTGCGCCTGATAGCTATGAGTTCAACGAGTGGCCAGATCATGAGCTCTCCCAGCACCCAGGGATGAATGCGGCAGGCCTGCTTTACATCAACCATTAGCTGTTTTTCTTTGTATAAGCTGCCTGTTGGATGGATAGTGTCACTCAGCGGTCCTCACACAAATGTACATTAAACAAATAGTGTAGAAGGCTTGTTTCAGTAAGATTAAGTACAGATAAGTAAAACCAACGCTGCACCACATTTTTATTGTTCTAAAGAAAACACTATATTTTAGCTATATGTATGTGTATGTGATACATGGAGAATATATATATTCTAAGTGGTCCTGAGATTTTAAAGAATACTTCTATGGTTTCTGCAGGTTTAGTCTAATTTTCAAACTTACATGATAACTTTGCAATTGCAATTTTCTATCATATGTTTTGTATTTCATTTTTTTTAAATGGCATGTAGAAAAACTGTGTGAGCCATGTGTAGGTGTTATCACAAGGGAGCGGCTTAACACCCTCACAAATATTGCATGAGAGCCATACATTTATTTTTTCCAGATCGCAGCTCTTGCTAAATCTTCTGTGTACTGTTTCCAACTCTGGGCCCTAATAATAAATAGGGCCCAGGAGTCCTTACATCTGCTTATCGCGGCTGCCTCTGTAATCTGACACAGACGTTTGCCAAAGCTGACGTTTACACTGAAGACATGGGTAAGCATTCCTCCCACTCATCCTGGTAAATCTGTTCGCTATTACCCCGTGTCAAACAGATGAGGGGAGCCGATCTATATGCTTCACTCAAGAATGGCATGGTCAAG